TTCCATCGTACACACTCTCTTTCTTTCGTCAGCCACAGGTGGTATATTGCAGAGTCACCACACAACAACCTTTTCGTGGCTACGTCTACATCGGCAGCACCAGTCACTCTCTCACACAACGAGAGGGCACACGCAATCGAAAATTCAAGCAACTTCAACAACACAAGATTGTACAAGCCGAACTTGCCTTACGATGGTGGCTTAAACACAAATGCTACCACCAATACACACCAATTGTACTACAAGCCAACATACCCACAGAGCAATTGGAAGCCACGGAGAACACTCTTATACAGCACCACCAATCCAAGCTCAACTTTCCCTACATTACATCACACATGAAAGGAGCTTTCTCCGGCTTCACCAAAGCAGCCAACAACAAGCACAACGGCACAGCCACCTTATGGGCGAAGCAGCGCCGAGGCAAACTACACCACTCCATTCGAAGCTTCAGCAATTCCCCCTTATTCAAAACCAGGAAACAGGCATGGACCACTGTCTCACATCTTACTTCCAACACTCGCACCAGATTCGACACAACAAAACAACTGCTTTGCTCCGACACACCAGCAGCCACCGTTTATGCTTTACACAAACTCTCAAACAACTTACCACGACGCGACCGCAGACACGCTCACAAAGCTCTCAACACCGTTTTTAAGAAGCGGCGACTAAAACCACCTCCTATCACAAAACCCATTTACCTACAGCCACTCTTACACCCCACCTTCACCCAACACCTACGACAATATTTGCGCTCTCGTTTAACAAGCAACAAACAACACATTCCACCATTCCACCTACCCAGCACGAAACCGGTCTACAAGAAGCACCCACCTATGCAACAACTCCTACACAATTGGCGCGATGCCCACACCACATGGCAACCTGATACACCACCACCCTGTACATGCTCACCATTACAGTCACAAGTACCCCAGGAACACATTTTCCACAATCACATTGCTATCCAACTTGCAGAACTACAACCACAACACCAGTTTTTGGCATACTCCGGCAAAAGCAATTGCCTTCAGAAGCCCACACAGTTGGCGTCACAATTATGCCGAGCCATACGCACATGGCACCGACACTATGGACTACCTTACAACCATCAAACTGCAAAGCAGTTTGTATCAGAACAAATACCACAACACAATTCACACTGCATTCAAAACAACATACTACAGGTCAAGATGATCAAGCAAGTCCAACACAAAATACCAACGGGCATCATCCATTGCGAAGATCACTTCCCGAACCGACTCACGTGGTACTGCCCAGCACTATACCACACTGCCATACACAACACTTTTTTAGACAAAGAGATTTTTCGGATGTCGCAGCGCCAACCTCTACAACACCACTTCGATGTCTACACAGACATCCGCAGTCTTCTACCAGCATACACATGGGCGTTTCCACAGTGGGGACGCATCCCACGTGCCTACATTTTACCGAAAAGAAAGAAGCAATTCACAAAAGGACGTCCTATAGTGGCGTTCATCGACACCATGGGCAGGAAATTATGGGAAGCCTTAGCAGACGTACTGCAGCTGATGACCCTTCAAGCATGCCCAAACTCCTTTCACCAAGGAGACGGGATAACCCAGCTCAAACAAACAGCGCTCTTTTTGCATCAGCGCAGAAAACTACACGATTCAACAGATTACATCCTGTACAATCAGGATTTAGCTGGATTCTTTACTTCGGTCGATCAAAGCCGGTTTCTTTCAGCATACAGCATCATGGTTCGATGGTACAGAGAGAAGAATCCACTGCACTCTTCCAAATTCTTCATTGACCACTCACAGAAAGACCCCACACATCGAGTTCACAGAGGTAAAAGCAGACAAAAGCAGCAGGAAGCCTCCTCCGGCAACAAACTTTGCATACAATTACAACACATACCACAACTCATCATTGCAGTGCTCAGGCTCAACTATTTCACTGTCGGTACATCACTCATTGAGCAATTTCGTGGAGCACCTATGGGCTCGCCCTGCAGCCCAGCTTTATGCAACATCGTGGTTGCTGTAGAAGAGCAGTGTTGGCACCACACATACAAGCAACTTTTCACGAACCACAAGCATTTTCCAGACCACAACAAGCAGGATCAAGCTTACTTTTTTGCTACCAGATACGTCGACAACCGCGTCCTTCTATTGCCTGCACAGCTGACCCGACTGCCTCCTTTTGCACAGCTTACTGACGCATCTTTCTACAAACCACCGGTTCAGCTTGAAACTGAACCGGCCAACATTTTCCTGGGTTTCGCCATAAACCCTCAGCACAGCAGCCTTACGCATCACTGCACTTTCCACAAGGCGGATATTTTACACCCACAGTCGGCGACCTCTGTTGCAACACTTCGCAGCAGTTTTCAGGCCCGCACACGCATGGTACGCAGAGTGACAACACCATGCAGCGAGGCCACATCAGCCATTCGAGCCATGCGCCATCTGTACATCGCTGCCGGCTATACTGATCAACAGCTGTAAGCAAAAACACTGTGCCAAGTTGCAGTGCGTGCGTTCAGAGCCATGCAACTTTGCAACATGTGAGACGCCTTGTACCAATACAGTGTTTCCCGCAGCCATTTACAGGGACTAACTGAGGCATCATCATGCATAAAAGTGCCATGACTGGCAGATTGCAGCCGAGCCACAAAGCGCTGAGCGGCCGTCCTCGGCCATCCATCTCCAAGCATAGCAGACGCCGCAACGAGCAGCCTGCGGTTGGCAGCCACACTCAACAGCCGGCGCCTTTACGCTCTCAGTTCCTACGTGTCGCAGAAGACGAAGATTTCCAAGATTACCAAGAGCAACACCAAGATCCGCAAGAACAGCAGGACGCAGCAGTGGCTGCACCGGCGACTCCGCCATTTCCACCTCCGCCGCATTCTGGTCCGGATTCATCGGCTGAGATTATTGAGTTACTAACACAGTTTCACAATTCGTTGCTTGAATCCAATGCCAAGCTGGAACGCTTGATACAGCAGGCCACAACGGTGTTGACTACTCAACACGAAGCCACCACTGCCATTATGGCATCATGCAAACAGCAACTTGATATTCTCGAGAGCCTTATGAGGCAAAACACACCAGACTGGTCCTGAATGTGCTGCTGAATCCGCTGGTATAAAAAGAGCCAGGTAGTGCACACCTCTTGCATTTGACCATTTGTTGCTTGCAGATACGCACCATAACTTCGCCTTCTGAAGTTTTATGCCTCAGAGTGACACCTATTCGAATCCCGACATAGAGCCATGAGCGAAGCATCTTTTCCGACAAACACAGCGACTACAGCTTCGCCACCCATCGATGAGGCACGACGTGAAGCTCTCTCCGAGGCCATCATGGAGATTTTGACACAGCATCGGGACTATGATTCAGAAACTGGAAGCGAACCTTCCACATTCAGTGACGGGGCTCTACGCGACCAATTAGCCGAGTTTATTCTTCAAACAACTCGGCAGATCACAGAGCTAAAGCAACGAGTGGAACGACTCGAAGCTTCGCAACAATAGGTGATCAACCATGCTCATACCGTCATCGGGCACATTGCAGCGGACGGTGAAAACAATGATAGTCGTTTTCGCCAATTGTTACAGTCAGCGCACTCACTTCACATATGTTTGTTATGCAGCGATTGATGCACTCTTTCCCGCAGCATTTTGAAAAACAACCAGTTGTGTTAGCATCATGGAACAACGCACCAGATCGCGATCTCCGACGGCATCACAATGGAGATGGCATTGGGCCACTAACGGCTCTTCATGGTGGCGAGAGTACTTTATCGCATCTCAAGAGTGGATACGAAAGCATTCGGAGCAACCTGATCAGCGTCCGACATCAACGACTCCTACCCAAAAGGAGACAGTATCTACTACATCAACTCCTACATCCAACAAGCGAAAGCGATCAAGAACTCCGTGAGCAGCATTGCTGAGTTGACAATTAGATGCACATTTGCTGCCCCCGGCAGCCAACAATCACACAGCAAAGCTGTGCTGCGAACTCCATCACATCTGATGAGGTTCAACATTAAGAGCATCATGTCGAAAGTTCATGCAGGTCTGCGCGGTTTATCAATTGATGTCTCTGTGTGCCTCTCTCTCTCTTCTGAAGATCTACGTTTGCACATGCCTCAATGCAGTTGTGACTCCGCAGCCATTTCTCTAACCTACAGTTGCTGAAACACATTAGGACAGTTTTGCACACAAATGGACGAGGATGACGACAGCAGCCTATGGGGATCCGAAGAGATTGATACCTTCTTGAGGAAGGACGACACCACCAGATCCTCCCATGCAGTCAGCCACACACACAAGCAAAAGACAAAGCACACAACGAGGACAAAAAAGAAGAAAGACAACAAAGACAAAAAGGACGACGTTCTCCGCGGGCGGACAGAGTTGTCTTTGATTTATAGTCGCCCATAGAGGCGACGCGAAACGTAGGAATTTCAAATTTTACAACTTATTTAAAATCCGTGCGCTCTTGATTTCATGTCACACTTTTACTTTGACGTGGAATCAGTTGTTCGAGTGCAAAAGCCTTTGGCCTAAGTTCAGTGTGTCCGTAGGTCACGTGTCAGCACATGCACATAGCTGGGAAACACATTGCAATGACCGTTGACTGAACAATTTTTCTTTCGTCCCATGGACTTCGGCGACGCCCTCGCCGCTGGTTCTTCAGGCCGTTCCGAGGACAGCTCTACCAGCACCCGCGAGCTTCACAGTCAGCACATTTACGAACTCCAATTGGAGGTCAACGCCCTCCGTGCTGAAATCCAGACTCTCAGGTCCGCATTGCAGGCTTTGGAAGAGTCCCTTGCTCGTGCCTGGGTGAACCAGACCGGCCACCACCAACGTCTCTCGTGGCTCGAAGGGATTATTCAGAGCTTGAGGACTGCCTGTCGGGTGTTTCTTGAGCCTGGCGTGCAGTCTGCCTCAGATCTGCCATAATTTTGACCTTTGCTGACTTTTCAATTGGGATATGGCGGGTCAGCCTAACTCAGACGCTTTGCTTGGGCCATCCGAATTTCATGCGGCCTTGGTCGCTGCCGAGAGGCCGCTTGTTCTGGATGCTCAGTCTCTTCTCATCAAGGACTTGTCTTGGCACATAAAGGTGGGCGAGGCGTCTCGAAAGACTCCTCTTCTCCCCTGGGAGACGGGTCCCCTTTCTTGGATCTTTGGTAGGCCACTCAAGAGGCCGCGTCTGGAGCTACCTCGGGACCTGTCCCCCGATTCAGGATCTGCTGTTGATGCGGGGGTGCCTCTGGTGCATCCACAGCCGGTGCCCAACTTTGCAAGGGAGCGTCTTAGGATTGCAGCTCTCCTGGCTACAGACGACAGTTCTCGCTGGGAAGCTCTGAGGAAGTTCAGGACGCTGGTTTTGCTTGACCCGGCGCTGTCTCAGGTGGGGCAGTCACTTGCGGCTGAGGCTTTGATTCTGCGAGACGGCGATCAGATGAGGCGAACTTTCTTGGATGTCTTCCATGGCAAGAGTACAGCTACCTTAGTGAAGAGAGCCTCGTCGCTTTGGAGGTTTGCCAACTTTTGTTTTGACAATGGTCTGGGAAATCCGCTCGGGGCTGGCGAGAAGGTTCTGTACCGATACATGTCGCACCTCGAGGAACATGGCAAGCCGACATCCGCCTCGGCTTTCCTTCAGGCCTGGAACTTCGCTGTCCACACTTTGAAGCTCTGTAGCCCGGACGCTTTGGGGGCCTTGTCTGCTAGAGTGAAGGGTGCTGCGCAGCGCATGTACTCCTTGAAGAGGAAGCTTGTTCAGGCAGTACCTTTGACAGTGAAGCAGGTGAAAGGCCTGGAGTACGTGGTCCTGAAGTCCCCGTACCCCCATTGGCGAATCATTGCGGGTCACCTCTTGATGTGCATAGGGTCTAGCTGCCGATTCGCCGATTCCTTGCAGCTGACCAGCCTCAAGGTCAGCACTGCTCAGGGTGTTACCCTGGTTGAGGCAGAGAGCTCGAAGTGGAAGACGGCTTCGAGGAAGGACCAGCTCCTTCCTTTGGCCTCCTTGGGAAAGTTCTTCGCTGAGGAGTCGTGGGGAGAAGTTTGGGCTAAGGAGCGCGAGGCTGCTGGTCTTGGCCTCGGCCCGGCGCTCCCGGCTTTCTCCGAGGTGACTGGTGAGTGGCTTAACCGTCCTATGTCCACGGGGGAGGCCACTTGTTATCTTAGGGAGTTCATGACCGCGGCTTCCCAGATGACTGCTGGTTTAGGGTGTCATTCTCTGAAGTGCACTGTCTTGTCTTGGGCTGCAAAATCCACGGATGTCCCTCTCGCTGATCGACGTTTGCTGGGGCATCACAGATCCGGGAGTGGTGTCGCCGCTTACTTATGCGAGGGACGAGCAGACCCGACTCATGAAGGTAGTTCATCTCGTGGTGGAAAAGATCAGGAAAGGAGCCTTCAAGCCGGATGCCTCGAAGGTCTGGCGCCTCGCGAAGCTGATTGAGTCTGGTGGCACGGAGCTGCTTATTGAACAGACTGTGCAAGGCGATCCCTCTATGGAGGAGTCCGATGACGAGGAAGGCGACTTCGGCGACGGGGACATGGCCGCTGGAGGAGCGTGCGCCTCGATGGAGCGATTGAGTGCAGCTGAGCTGGACATTGCTAAAGATAGTCGGATGCATGTCTACTCGAGGGTGGTGCACATCCTGAAAGGATCCAAGTTCCTATGTGGGAGGAACCTCTCTCCAAACTATGAGGCCATCGATCCGGATGTTCCCCTCCGAGACTTGCCGGTATGCGCTCAGTGCTCGCAGAAGTACCAGCAGTGATTTTGGGATCGAGGGGTGAGTTCTGTGTCAGAGTCCGAAATTTTGTCGTGTGTTCCTGGGCCTGACCTGGCGGAGCCCCAATTGGGCGTTGACCGCTGGGCGTTGAGGGCGCAAGAGCAGGAGCAAACTCGCCAGACAATTCGAGCCTCACCTTTGCCAGACCTGGCGGAGTCCCCCTACTGGGGGCGTTGGCCGTTGGGCGTCGAGGGCGTAAAGGGTGGAGGCGAGTCGCTATGACTCCTCAGATGATTTGAGCCTCACCTTATCCTGACCTAACGGAGACCCCACGTCGGGGCGTTGTCCGTTGGGCGTCGAGGGCGTAAGGTCGTGGGGCGCTCTTCACTTTGGGCATTCCGTGGCCTCACCACAGTAACAGTGTGACCTTGTCTCGCGCGAAAGGAATTTTGACTGCAGGCGCGAGTGGGGCAGGCAGTCCTACGGGCGTTGTGCCGAGCTCTTGGTGGTTCTGATTCTCTGAGCTGCATCCAAAGTTGCCTTGCTGACGACAGTCCTGACTTGTTGGCTAGAGCGAGGAAGAGCGCAGTTCAGGCCGTCCTTGAAGGACGGGACAGTAGCAGCCATGAATTCGACAATTGACAGCGAAGCCACGTTCGCTGCCCGGGCCACCGAGCTCGGCATGGAGCGCGCTCTCTTGGATTTGCTTGTGAACAACAACGTGAAGACGATGGGCGCGCTAGCCTTTGTGAGCCCCTATCAAATCGGTCAAGCAGACGAGAAACCTCTTCTTGAAGCCCTCAAAGCCCTGATAGGGCGCGACTTGACCGCGAAGGAGCTGATCCCAGTCAGGCGATTGTGGTTCGAAGCCTCGACCACAGTGATGGGGGAGTTGAAGCAGAAAGTAGAAAGAAATGACTCTGCTGAACCAGTTCGTCTAGCCATAGCGGAAAGAACAACACGTCTGGATGAGCAGAAAAAGCGCCTTGTGGGCGTGTGCATCAACAGTGAGTCTGAACCTTCTCACCGCCTTGTGGATGTTGTCTTCCAGCAGGGCGCGGATCAGCAGCTGACGTGGTTGCCTTGGGAGAAGTTGACAAGTCGGGCTCATGAGTTGACGCATTCTCGCTCCGACAACGCCATCCTGTTTGATGCTCAGGGCAACATGAGGCTGACTAAGAAGATGCAGGAGAGCCAGTGTACTCTGACAGGCGAGCTCCAAGCTCGACAAGCGCTTCAGAGGCGCGCGTTGGCGTATGACCTCGCCCGCTTGTGTGACTATGCTGTCATGGAAACCTACCATGAGGAGTTGTTCCAGCTCCTCACTCGGCCTCCACCTCCCAATGCCCTCTACGTCTCAATGGGCCAAATCCGAGAAGCTGATAAGCACTTATTCATCAGGATCGCAGAGCAAACCCGGGGCTCTCTCACTGCTCGCCCGGATGGTGCTAAGCCTTGCAACAGCAGCTCGAGCTTCTCAAGAACCATCCTCAGGTGCAGTTCTTCTTGATGCCACCGCAGAAGCCTCTCCGCTACTCTCCTTATGATGGCAAAGGGGAGGGCAAGAAGGGAGCTGGAGGCAAGGGAAAAGGGAAAGCATCGACCGGTGCTCCCGCAGGAGGGGCTGCGCAAGTGGACCTCCCATCTGGATGCAGTGCCAAACACAATGGCAAGCCAATATGCTTTGCGTACAACAGGGCGGGCTGTAAGTTTGCCAAGGATGGCAAGCGGTGCAGACGAGGTTTCCATATATTTGGAAGTGTTTCAAGGAGCACAGCTATAGCGCTTGCCCGCTCGGCGGGGCCTGACTCGGTGGTGACACTTCTGAGGCTTCGGTGCATGACGCTGCTCCCCGTCTTCAGGCGACGGCCCTTCTCGACCTTTTCGAGTCGCTGCCTAATGAGGTTGCGCCTCGCCCTGGATCGACTTCTTCAACGAAGGTGTTTCAAGCTGGGGCCTACATTTTCGGTGTGCTGGCCGGTCTACGCCGGTCTTGCGCCTTGCATGCTGAGAGTATCAAACCCTTTTGCCGTTTTGTAGTGGAAAACACTCCTGAGGAGTTTGTTTTCAGTAACATTGCTGTCTTTGCGAACTTACGGACTGAGATGCACCTAGATCCTAATAATCTGGAGGGCACTTTGAACTTTGCCATTGCCCTGTCTTCCTTCGAAAGCGGACAGATTCGACTTGAAGGCGGGCCGCAGGGTTCTGAGGCCCTTTTGGATGTCAAGCCAGGCGTCTTCTTTGATGCCCGGACTCGACGCCACGGGACCTGTGACTGGACAGGTCAGCGGGTCGTTCTTGTGGCATTCAGCCTCAGGGGCTCCGATCGCCTTTCTGCAAGGGACGCCCAGACCCTAGCATCCCTAGGGTTTAGGCCCCCTTACCCGGGTGTAAATAATCTGCATTTGGCAAGCCAGCTTTCAACGTCAGATGCGCCGGCGCATGTCGCTGCAGCTTCGCCCGGCTTTCCTCCTGTGCCTCCGAATGCTCCTGCCTTTGTTGAGGTGTTCGCTGGCTGTGCTCGCTTGTCAGCTACGTTCGCCCGGGTTGGTTTCAAGGTCATGCCCTTTGATGGCCCTCGGAACCCGCATCAGCCTGAGCATCCTGTGTGCACGCTTGACCTGACATTGCCGATTTGCCAACAGATCTTCTTGAGCCGCCTCGAGAATTCCAGTGTCTTCTTGATTCACTTTGGGTTGCCTTGTGGCACAGGATCGCGTGCCCGCGAGGCGCCACTTCCCCAACATCTGCGAGCCCGTGGTGCTCCTCAGCCTCGCCCGCTACGAGACCATGTGCACGTCTTGGGCCTCCCTTCCTTGAGTCCTCAGGAGTCTGCTAGAGTGGAGGCCGCCAACCGACTGGCCGAGTTCGTGGTGCAAGTGCTTGTGCGAGCACATGATCAAGGCTGGCGCATTGTCATTGAGAACCCCATTCGTTCTTGGATGTGGAGTGTTCTAGCCCACTTTGTGCGCGCGCTTGACAAGCCTCGCTTTCGGTCATGGTACTCCGAGCTGTTCACTTTTGATTTTGATCAATGCTGCTGGGGCGGTCGCCGTCGCAAAACTTCCAGGTTCTTGACCAATGTGCCCGAGCTTCGCTCCTTGGTGGCTTCTTGTCAAAATGATCACCCTCACGAGCCGTACCGCATCTTCAGAGGTGCGGCCTCTTCTTGGAAATTCGACACGGCTTCCGAGGCCGAGTATCCTTTGCCTTTGTGCGAACAGTACGTTCGCCTCCTGTGCCCGCTGGTCAATGCCCAGCCGCCAAACCTGCCTAGGCCTTTGGTTCGTCAGGTTCATCGGAAGCCTCCTCTCGTGCCTGAGTACAAATCCTTCACAAATGTCCGCCCTGAAAGTGGTGAGTTTCGCGAGCTCGCGTCAGATCGGGGTGTTGGCGGGAGCGGCTCAACTCAGGGCTCCACGTTTGGAGTCTTTCACTCTAAGGGTGAGTTCCTTGAGAAGGCGCTGGAAGTTGAGCACCCCTTTGATTCCGCCTTTGCCATTGACGATCAGACCAAAAGGAACGTCTTCGAGTTGCTCACCATGGGTCTCCTGGGCCCTGCTCGCAGGCGGATGGACACTCAGAAAAAGCTTTCAGCGTTGAAGCGTGAGCTTGCCGTCGAGGAGAAGCGTTTTCACGCCTCCCTTCCGGAGCACGCCCAAAAGGTGCTCAAGGGGAAGAACATCTTGTTGTGGAAGAAGCTCCTTGAGGAGACCGGGTTCCCAGACATCACGGTCGCTGAGCTCATGGAGGGCGTCCCACTGGTCGGTAGGCCTAGTAAGTCTTCCTTGTATGGGTGGAAGGAGCAGCCGGCGACCACAACGTTGGATGATCTTCTTGTTTCCTCCGTGTGGAGGAACCCTGCGCTGGCGGCGAAGGGCAGAGTTGGGGACGACCCCGTCCTAGCCGAGAAAATCTGGCAGGCTACACTTTCGGAGGTGGAGAGGGGCTTCATCTCGGGGCCCTACGATTCGGAAGAGGACGTTAAGAAGGCCCTTGGAGTTTCTCACATCTGCTGCAGCCGGCGCTTTGGGGTGAAGCAAGGTGCAGGCGATGCTTTGAAGTATCGCCCCATCGACGACTTCAAGGAGAGTGCCATAAATTCTGCCTACCACGCGGTGGATCGCTTGCAGCTGCATGACGTCGACTACTTTGTTTCCTTGATAAGGTTTCTGGCGAACTCCGTGGACGACTCGGGTGCAGTCAATGTCGAGCTGTCCGACGGGACAGTGCTGAGTGGGGCTGTGCACAGTGACTTTCGATCGGGGCGGCGCTGGCTTGGACGGTGTCTCGATCTGGAAAAGGCGTATAAGCAGGTTCCCATATTGGCCGCTCACTTGCCCCTAGCCGTCATAATGGTATGGGACCCGAACACCAGCCGCAACAGATATTTTACCACTTGGAGCATGCCGTTCGGCGCATGCGCGGCCGTGTTTGGATTTAATCGCATATCCAGGTCGCTCTTACATCTGGCCTCGCACCTTTGCGCCGTCATAGGAGGCGTGTATTTTGATGATTATCCTATGATCGAGCCTGCTGAGTCTTCTAGGATGTGCAGCCTCTCGGTGGAAACCCTGCTTGACTCCTTGGGATGGTCTTATGCCGTCGGTGACGACAAGGGTCAGCCTTTTGAGGAAACCTTCAACCTCCTTGGCATGCGGCTGGGCGTTTCTAGAATCATGGATGACATCCTCGAGCTCGAGAACAAGCCCAGCCGGGTCCAGAAGCTCGTTGAGGCAGCCAGGAGAATGGCTGCGAGTGGGGCTGTGAGCAAGAGTGACTCTGCATCCCTTCATGGCCAACTGAACTTCATGGTGGGCTTCGCTTCCGGCCGTTCCTTGAAATTTGCTGCGCGAGCCTTGTCAAACCTTTATCACTTTCCACGGGATCAGCCTGACGAGGAGGTGAAGTCCTTGGGCCGCTACCTTGAGTCTGCGCTTTTGAGCTTGGAGCCCAAGGTCATCAGGCTGAGGTCAGGCGGGAGGCCGGTGTCAGTCTTCAGCGACGCCTCTTACGAAGATGGCGTGGCGGCATGGGGCATT